ACTTAAATGTTTCTGTCGAATAGACCAATCAACACCTTTCCCAATAATACTACAGTACCCGATGTAGATTAACGTGTATTTATGTCTGTAGCAAAACTTACATCAGCATATGCAGTTAAACTTAGTTCATCCTTAGGCTCCAAATATAATGCATAATGCATCGTTTGTTTCAGATATCTTAACACACGCTTAGCAGCTTGCCAGTGCCTTTCAGTTGGCTCAGCGTTAAATCTAGCTAATTGGTTAACACTGTATGCTATATCTGGCCTTGACCAATTACTGAGATATGATAAGCTACCAATCAAAGACTGATAAATGTTCTTATCAAAAACAGGACTTTGAACATCACTGTGGCTAAACTCCTGGCTCATTGGTGTTTTAGCCAGTTTACAAAGTTCCATTTTAAAAATTTTTAGTAATTGGTTAATTTTATCTGCCTGTGAGATTTTGTATCCTCCCCTAGTTCTATCTATCTTTAAGTCAAGATATTGTTTAATTTCCCCGAACTGTTTCATCTTAAATTTCTTCTCTAACAGTGATATTATTTTAGTAGCTTCTTGTTCAGTTTTGGTGATTAATGCTATGTCATCAGTGAACAATAAGCAACAATGACACTACACCATCACTTACCTTTTTAAATAAACATGGATCAGCCATGCCAGCTACAAAAACTATCTTTGTTAATTCCTTAACTATACACTGGTTCCACTCATATCCTGATTGCTTTAAGCCATAAAGTCTCTTTTTCAATCTCCAGCAATCAGTTGTATTATCATTTTTGATACCTAAAGGTTTCTTTAAATAAATAGTGTGTTGCAATGGTGCATGCAGATATGCCGTCTCTACATCTAAATGATTTACAATGTATTCCTCCTTAGCTGCCCACACTAAAGCTGCCCATAATATAGTAGCTTTCAGACTAGGTGCAAACACCTCACCATAGTCATTTGCTGTCTGATTGAATCCTTGTGCTACTAACCTGGCTTTATGGGTAACAGTCCCATCTACATCTGTCTTTAGCTTATAAATCCATTTATATCCTATGACATGTTTACCTGGTGGTAACTTGACATTTTCATATACATCCAACCTTTGTAAGGATTTCAGTTCCTTATCCATTGCTTCCTGCCAAGCAGCCTGATCCTTAGCAGGATACAGTTTTAGTTCATTATAGTTATTTGGAACTGTATTTGCTTGGCATACAACACTGATATCTATCAGGTGGTCGTGTTACTCGGGTTGAACGTCTTGGTAATACAGGGCTTACTGGTGGACTCACCTGTTCCACCTGCTCCTGTTCTTCTATCTCCTCCTGTGCCTGTTCTCCTATTTCTTCCTGTGCCTGTTCTTCCTCTTTAATGGCTATTTGTGGTTTACTTAATTCATCTTTAGGGACTATTTGGGTGTCAATAATAATATCATTGCTGGATTCCTGTTCCAGTTTATTCCACCCAATGTGCTCAAGAAATTTAGCACTATCGCTACAATAAACATGAGCTGTGCCTTGATCCCAGAATCTAAATGATCTATGGTTGGCCTTGTAACCTACAAAAAATAATTTCTTAGCTCTATTTTGCCCTTTCAGTCTTACTTGTGAGGGAATATGCACCCATGCTGGAGCTCCAAATGTGTTTAGGTAACTTTAATTTGGTTTTCTGCCATGTCAACAAGTGAATGGCAATTCACCAGCTGTTGTGTTTACTACATTGTTTAACACATGGTTACTACACATTATGGCTTCACCCCACAGTGTTTCAGGCAAACCTGAATCAGATAACATAGTACGAGCCATGGCTTGTAATGTTTGCCCTCTTGGTTCTACAAACAAGTTATGTTATGGCCTGTAAGGTGCAGAATGTTTATGCTTGACACCAGCCAATTTCAGCATTGTTTGGAATCTATTGTTAACAAACTCAGTCCCATTATCAGTAACTAAAGTAATTACTTTACTCCTCATTTTTCTCTCTGCAAACCTTAGCCAATTAAAGAAATGTTGGAATGTTTCTGTTTTGTTTTTCATGAGATAGCAGAAACCGTACTGTGAGTAATGGTCCATTATACTCAAAACGTAGCAGGCACCTCCCAAACTGGGTTTTTTAGGACCAATTATGTCAGTAAACACAACCTCTAAAGGTTCTTTGGTCTTAAACCCATTAAGTCTGTTTGCTGGAGTAACCTTGCTTTTCTCCTGGCTACAAGCATTACAGTTTAAATACTTACTACATAGTTTTAATTTTATTCCCTCTGACAAAGTAACAGTTTGTTTGAGCATTTTGAAATTAATGTGCCCCAGACGTCTATGCAGTAAATGTATACATTCATCATGTGGCTTAGCATTGTTATAAACAGAGTTAGCCATCTGCAACTGGTCATCATGTATCACATATAAATCATTCTCTAAATTAGCAGTAACACTTTTACCCTCTTTCTCTATTGTACAATTATCTTCCCTAAAGGTTACTACATAACCAATATTAACTAAAGCCCTTACTGATAACAAATTAAATTTCAGTTTAGGTACATATAACATAGTTAAATGCTCGTTTATACATGAACAATATGCAGTACCTTCACCAGACGCTTTCATCTTCCATCCATTTGCCAATGATACATGTTGTTTACGTGGACATCTTTACAAACCTCTCTCTATTTTTAGTAATGCACTGCAATGCTCCACTATCAACAACCCACAAATCATGGTTTACAGTTGAATTGCTAGACATAGCTAAATTAACATTCTTCTTAGCCTTCTGGTGATTACTAGTATTCTGTCGTTTTCCCTTCTTACAGAATCTAGCTATATGTCCCCTAGTCCCATAAGAAAAACATTTCCTAACAGTATAGGCAGTTGAACACAAATCCTCTTCTTGTAGTTGTTCCTTTCTCAGTTGGTCCCTATCCAGCTGTCTTCTTGCCTCTTCTCACAATCTTTCGGTTATGTCAGTCAATGTCAGTTCATCTTTGGTCAGGACTTCCAGTGAAGATACGTAATCATCATAACTTTCATCCAATGAGGAAAGAATGATGTAAACTTGATGCAGCTCTGAAAATATAAGTTCCTTTTCATGTAGCTCTTGAAAAGTTCTTTTCATAAAGTTCAAATGAGCTAGCATATCTCCACCTTTCAGAAGACGTGCTCTAAACAGTCTACATGTAAGATGTATGTGTGCACCTACACTGTCACGAACATAAATCCTCTTCAAATTCTCCCAACACCTAGTAGCAGACTCTTCTCCACAAATATGGACTAACTGCTGGTCACTCAGTGTTAGTCCAATTATACAAAGAGCTCGTTTGTTGTTCCATTTAAAGTCAGCTAACTTCTTGGCATCGTCCTCATCATCTGGATCCCAAGCATTTACATCCGGTGAATCTAGAACTGCAGCCCATAACCCTTCTCTATGCAGAAGTAGACTGCACTTCATAGACCAGGAAACATAGTTTGTTCCATCCAACAGGGTTATCAGTGATAGACTTGTTTACGGGTCTTGTGCCATCTTTACCAGGATAGTAACCCACAATTAAACAGTAAACAGCTGTCTGTATACGGTACTGTGTATTCACACCAACTCTCAGTTATCTGAGCCTGGTATGGCCTGGGCCCATAACCAGTGTTGAGGTAATTCCCCGTTAGGAGAATGAGCGCAGACAGGGAGGCGTAGTGAGAGTGGTGAAGAATAACACACAACCAGCACACAGATACACTGTATAGTAAAATGTAGGTTTTTACTTCCAGTAAAACTGTTAAGCAAAGTTCAACAAACAGTCCAAGTTATTCACAGTTAAAGCAGTCAGTTTTCAGTCCAGGGATAATCCAATAACAAAGTCCAGTATCAAAAACAGTTCAGTAAATCGACTCACATCAAATCCAAGAATAACGATGATCAGCAACAGTCAATAGGGAAATGCAGGAACGGCAACACTCTCAGCAACAACAGAACAGAACAACCCAGGTTTCTAGCTCCATCTTATGGCCGTTTGAGAAACCACACCCAATTACAATTTTAGCATTCCCTTAAAGAGACAGTATTAAAATGTCTTTCCTGGTTTTTATATTTTCCAACCCAACTGTTAGGTGACTTACATTCCTAACACATCTCCTCGACTGGCCTCTCATGACTGTGGGGATGCTGCAACAGTCGTAAGTGTGAAAAATGGTCATAAGTCACTTTTTCAGTGCCATTTTAACTTTGAATGGTCATTTCACACAAGCAAAGTACCAGCAAAGGAGGGGGAAAAAACTCCAGAGAAGTTCCAGAGACAGGAAGTCTAGTCCTACCAAGAATGTAATAAGGGTTAACGGAGAGGCAGTTTCTGTGAGCAACATCAGAATGTTTCCTTCCTGCCTTCCTTACAGGATTAGGCCAGTAATTTCTTCTAACAACCGGTTCTCCAAACTGCTTAGAATGTTAACAACCGGTTGTAGCGAATAGCTGCGAACTGGTAGAATCCCACCCCTGAATATAGGAGAGCTAACGGCAGGGGTGGGTAGGTGGGGCCAGTCAGAGGTGGTATTTGCTGGTTCTCCGAACTAGTCAAAATTTCCGTTACTGGTACGCCAAAACCAGTCCGAACCGGCTGAATACCACCTCTGCTAAGGCTGAATACCACCTCTGGTGATTGGTTTAAATCAAGGGGTATCAAACTGGTGGCTAGCAGGCCAGATGTGTCCTGTGCTGGCCACACCTCACCCCAGCTCCACAAAGGGGACAAAGTCACATGACAGCAACGTGACGCTGTGAGTTTGACACCCATGGTCTAAATTATCCAACTGGTTTTCATGACTAAGGCGGGACTAGAACTCACAGTTTCCTAACGATTGGTCCAAAATCACCCAGCCAGGTTTCATGTCTAAGGTGGGATTAGAACTCACGGTCTCCTAGTTTCTAGTCTGGTGCCTTAACTACTTGACCAAATTGGCTCTCTAATTTATTAATTAAAGGAAAAAAAGTGCTTCTCTCTCATTCATTCATTCATTCACTCTTTTCTTCCCTCTCCAGGTTTCGAACCCTAGGAAGAAGTGCAAGAAAAAGAAGTACACTAACTCGGGGACTGTAAGTGTAGGACAGTTTTTTCCCCCCCTCTTAGCCCACATCCCCTTAGCCCCACATCCCTTACAGATCAGGGCATCGAGTCATGTGAAGCTGATGGGAATCTTTTCACTGGGGCACAATTCAGATTTTTTCCAGTCAAACGATTTAGCTGCTCTATTTAAAAAAAAAAAAAAAAAAGGAAGCACTTGCTTGCGTTATGGAAGCCAATCACATTTCCCTTCTCTTCCCGATTCACTTCTCTTGAGGGCAATCCAGAAACAGACACCCCCTCCCCCAAATCTATCTTTCTGCCCAGGTGACTGCACCCTCCGGAATATCTCATGCTTTTTCTTCTTCTTTCTTTCTTTCTTTCTTTCTTTCCTTCTCTTTTGTTTGTTTTTCTCTGTTCCTGGTAGGTAACCCTTCTGTCATTCACAGTGCAGTCAGAATTCACGTTTGTTGATTACATTCGAGGCGGGTGCGTCGGTTGAAACTCCTGGATGCCTCTCAGGTCCCTGGTTTCTGAGGGTTTCATGAGCCCTCAGCCCCTCTTCCTATCCACTGCCTCTGAGGCATTGCGGGGGAGCTATAAGAGGGCCTCAGGGGCAGAGCACAATGACTTTTTAAGGTGATAAGGAAGTAGGTGCCTCAGGAGGGGCACGTTGGGGAAGGCAGGGATGCTCCGGTCTCTTCAAGAGGGAGACTTGCTGGTGCTGGTGAGAAGATCAATTGCCTAGCACCCAAAAAAGGGAGCGCCCTTGGGACATTGGAAGGCATCCCCAAGGATGGCAGCATCCATTTCTCTCTCTCTCTTTTCTGCACCATCCTTAGGACGCAGCTGAATTTCACGGTTGCCATTGACTTCACGGCCTCCAATGGTGAGTGAGGCACGCTTGCGTTGTCGCTATGGGAACTAAGTGCAGCTCTGCTGCTGGTGACAAAGCGGTCAGGTTGACCCCGATGCTTGCTGAGGGTTTCATGAGCCCTCAGCCCTCTTCCTATCCACTGCCTGGCTTCCTATCCCTTCGTTTTGAGGGGGCCACGTCTGGGCACTCTCTCTGCTCCCGTTATTTGGGGAGATAGGACGAGAATTCAGGTGGGCCCACTGAATAGGGATGGCTAAGGAGGAAGGTGTAGGACTTACTTGTATTGTGACTCCAAGAAACCTTTTGTGATGACCTTGGACAAGATACGAAGGTCACACAGCCAGCGGAGAGTTCAAACTCCCCTTTACTGCTCCAAATTTCCCCTCAAACGCTCCTACGTTCTTGGCAAGTCCCAGAGCAAAGCACACACACACGCGTATACACACACACACAGCAGCCTCTGGCTGCACCCAGTCCAGCAAAGCAAAAGAACAGGGAAATGAGTCCACGAACCAAGGAACAAACAATGGGTTCACCAAGTCAGGAAGAAGGCACTAAGTCCACAAGTAAGGAAGAAGCAAAAGCAGTCCTGCAAACTCCAACTGTCTATATCGGCACACCAAACTCTACCACTTCAGTGTTTGTTCCCGACAAACGCCCCTCCCCACAGCGTCTCCTTAAATCTCAGTCCCCAGGTGTGCCTTGTGAAGAGGGGCGGGGTGCTCTCCTCCCGAGTCGTCAGGTCGGCCTGCGCTGTTCCCACTTTCTCTCCACTCTCCTTGCTCACGGATCAGGAGGAGGCAGTCCTTGCTCATCGCCTGAGCTCTGTTGCTCCTCCTATCCACTGCTTACCCTCTCTTGGTCATCCTGCCCCCGTTCCTCCCTGCTAACAAGCCATTCCAATCCTGAGGGGCCCTGGGCCTGCTCCTCCCCACATTCCTCCAAAGCCAATGAAGCCACCCCCTTGATCTCCCTCGGCTCTGGCTCCAGCCCGTCCTCCTCCACAGATTCAGACTCTGATGGGGGCATGACACCTTTGGACTGGGGGAAAAGGGGGAATGCAGAATTTTTGAGACTGACAAAATGCCTTTTCACAGGGAACCCTTCGCAACCCACTTCTCTTCATTACATGAGCCCTTATCAACTCAGCTCCTATGCCATGGCACTGAAAGCAGTTGGCGAAATCATCCAGGATTATGACAGCGACAAACTTTTCCCTGCTTATGGCTTTGGCGCCAAAGTCCCACCAGACGGCAAAGTGTCTCATCAGTTCCCTTTGGTAAGAAAGAACTTCCTGAGTGAAGACGGGAGGGACCATGATAAGAGAATGCCTGCCAATACACATGCAATTCCCAAGTCCCATACCTGGCATCTTAGCAGGAGTAGCAGGGGTGGCATGATGGCTCAATGTTAAGACGCTGAGCTTGTCATCTGGAAAGCCAACAACCCGAGTTTTGAGGCCCAAGTAGTGCAAAACAGGGTGAGCTCCTGTTCTTAGCTCCAGCTCCTGCCCACGTAGCAGTTTGAAAGCATGCAAATGCAAATAGATAAATAGGCACCACTTTGGTGGGGAAATTACTGCATCCCCTATTTTCATGCTGGCCACAGGATGACAGAAACATCTCTCAGACCACTCAGGTTCCCTCGGCTGAGAGTCAGAGATGAGCACCACCCCCATTGGGTTGGTCACACCTGGACAGGGGAAACCTTTGAACCTTTTAGAAATAGTCTGTCGATTGGGGAGTTCTACTATATTCAAGATGGGGTGTGTGAGACAGCTTCTTACGCTCTTAGAGAAAAAGGACTTCGGTCCGATTTAAGTATAGTAAATAAAATCATACATTGCAATGTCCTACCTGTCAATGAATCCTTCAGCTTCAACCATAACAATACAAGAGCAAACAATAGATACAAACTCAAGGTTAATCGCATCAAACTTGATTGCAGGAAATACGACTTCAGCAACAGTGGTCAATGTCTGGAATACTCTACCTGACTCTGTGGTTTCTTCCCCAAACCCCAGAAACTTTAACCTTAGACTTTCTACTGTTGACCTCACCCCTTTCCTAAGAGGTCTGTAGGGGGCGTGCATAAGCGCACCAACGTGCCTACCGTCCCTGTCCTATTGTTTCTTTTTTATTTTTCTTATATGTATCCATGTATTCATAACTATGTTTTTACTTATACCTATTATCTTGTAAGCAGTTGACAAACCAAATAAAATAAATAAATAGTTCCATATTCCTAAACAGACACTTGAAAGTTAGATTGAGGTAGTCCTCAACTTACGACCGGTCACTTAGCACCTGCCCAAAGTTACAACTGACTCAAAAAAGGGGATTTATGACTTGGATTTGAATTTCTAATGGTTGAGCTCCCTCTGCAGCCACGTGACCAAACTTCAGGCAGTCAGCAATACAGATGCATTAATGGCCATTTGCAGCATCTCACAGTCACCATTTCATGACGGCTTCGCCAAAACCGCACCTTAGCAAATTTGCTTACATGCAGCCATAATGGTAACACAGTGATGATTGTAAACATGGGCTGGTTGCCAAGCCCGAAAATTTTAATCCATGATTGTGGGGACACTGCAACAGCCGAAACTTCCAAGATTGGTTGTAATTTTTTTTCAGCACCATCATAACTTTCAGTGGCTACTGAAAGAACGCTCATAACCCAGAGACTATCTGTATTCTGCGTAGGTTTTGAGGTCATTTCGCTATCTATGCCTCCAGTTATCTTCTTAACCAATTATTTAAAAATTATTCTGTGGATAAGGATAATTTGTAAAGAAAGAAAAGCACAGCTGCACAATGGCATATAATTCTATGCTGCTGTTTTGAGGATTACGATTTAATAATTCTTTAGATCGTGCTAATTTATAACCTTAGGATCATGCTAATTTTAAGAAGTTATTTTAGAGAATCTCTGAGGTCATCATCATTAACAAAATTGATGGTGGTTCACAGAAATAATTTATTTAAAATTCTATTATAATATTAAATTGTATTACCTCTTTATGGTGATGTTAGAAATTGCATTAGAGCTAGAAAGGGTTTTTCAACATGTCTTTACCACTGAATAAATTATCATAGCCATACATCATTGATTAGAAGTGAATAAGAAAGGTTTCCAATTCAGAGAACGGGGTTTTCGAAGTCCTATATCTTTTAATATTTCTTTTCTAAAATTTTATTGTGAGGGATACATCAGGGTCAGTTCCACTCAAGGGCATCTGCAGGTTGGGTAAAAAAAAAGATCATGTTGGTGGACATGATCCAGGGCAGGGCAACCCAAGACCTGCCTCTTTTTTACTTGTGTGATACACACAGCACATGTTAAAAAGGGATGGACGCTTGACTGTGCAATCACTGCTGATCTCGACTTATGCACGTGCACTACACCCACACCCACTCACACATATCATGGATATTCCCACTCACTTGCCCTTTACTGTTTCTGGATTAGATTATACAATCAATTGTGGTCTACAAACCCATAGCTGCACCAACATTTAGTTGGTGCTTCATCTTATGCCGACCAGCCAAATTAATCAAAAGCACTTCTCAGTTAAAAACTTCTATGAGTCTTTCACTAGGAAAAGCCAAAGTTCTAATTCTCCTGCGTCGAAGAATATCACTCTATAAATCCTTACTAAGACCACACCTAGAGTACTGCATCCAGTTTTGGTCACTACATTATAAAAAAGATGTTGAGACTCTACAAAAAATATAGAGAAGAGCAACCAGGATGATTAGGGGACTGGAGACTAAAACATAAGAAGAACGGTTATAGGAACTGGGCATGGCTAGTATAGTGAAGAGAAGGACCAGGGGGAGACATGATAGCAGTCTGCCAATATTTGAGGGGCTGCCACAGAGAGGAAGGGGTCAAGCTATTTTCTAAAGCACCTGTAGGCCAGACAAGGAATAATGGATGGAAACTGAACAAGGAGAGATTTAACCTGGAAATAAGGAGAAACTTTCTGACAGTGAGAACAATCAACCAATGGAACAGCTTGCCCTCGGAAGTTGTGGGAGCGCCATCACTTGAGACCTTCAAGGAGAGGTTGGACTGCCATTTGTCAGAATTGGTGTAGGGTCTTCTGCTTGGGCAGGGGGTTGGACTAGATGACCTATAAGGTCCCTTCCAGCTCTGATTATCTGAAAAGAAGTGTGATCCTTTGCTGGCTCTCTGAGCTTGGTAGTTTTTTTTGGAGATGTTTCGTTCCCAAACAAGGTAACACCAACAGTGCTTAAGGATTGACTCCTCCAACACAGGGCTCTTCCTCCCTCCCAGAATTCCCAGCTCTAGAGCCCTTTGAGTGAGTGTTCAGTGAAGAGTCTCTCATGCCTGCCCTGTCCAGATTGCTGAGTCATGCCATTGTCTCCCTAGAACAATAACCTGGACAATCCCAACTGCGAGGGCATCGAAGGGGTGCTGGAATCCTATTTCCAAAGCCTACGTACCGTGCAGCTCTATGGACCCACCAACTTTGCACCTGTCATCAACCTGGTGGCCTGGTAAGCAGGGAGGAGACAAGGAAGCCACTTGTTAGTCCTCTTGTCTCCCAAGAGACCTTGAAGAGTGATTTGGCCTAGTGGTTATAAGGCACCAAGCTTGAAAGTGGAGACTGTGAGTTCAAGTTCTGCCTTAACCATGAAAGCCAGCCCAGGTGAACCTTGGGCCAGTCCCCCTCTCTCTCAGCCCACAGGGGTTGTTGTTTTGGGGAAAATGGGAGGAGGAAGGTGTGTTGGATGTGTTTGTCACCTGGAGTTATTGGTAAAAATAATAGAGGTGGGATATAAATAAATACATAAATAAAAATGAAAGAGTCAAGTAGGCCACTCTCAGCCAAGGCTTCTGGGAGCCAAAATAATCCAGTGTGTCTCGGGCAACTGCAATCTCCATTGCTTGACCTATTAAGACAGCAGCCCATGCAAGATTTGTGCAGCGGTAAAGAAGGTGAAAGAAAGAGGAAGGGAAGGGAAAGGAAGGAAGGGAGGGAGGGTAGCCTAGCAGGAAGAACTTATGCCTTACCTGCAGAATAACCCAGATCCAACCTGCAAAAGAAGAGCTGAAAGGCGTCCAAATGCAGAGAGCTGATGTCAGTTGGGATTGACAGGCATCAAATTTGATTCCGAATAAAGCTTAAGTCAGCTTCTCGCTTTTTCAGCTTACTCACAAGGCAGAATGTTGTAATTTTTATTTTTTTTTGACAAGGGAAGTGTGGACAGGATTTTTGAAGGAGGCTGTGGGACGCAAAGTGCCTGATATCAGTGCTCTCCATCACTCTCCTCTCTCTGTTTCCCAGTTTGGCTGCCCAGGTCACTGATGGCTCCCAGTATTACGTTCTTCTCATCATCACTGATGGAGTGATTTCCGACATGCTGCAGACTAAAGAAGCAATTGTCAGTGTGAGTCAGCCTTGGTGTAGCTCATCGGGTAAAAAGAAAAGGAACCAGGGTCAAGGCCTGGGGCATAAAAACACCATCACCAGCTCCAAATGCCTAAATCCTCATTAAATAGTCCACGTGAGCCACCCACACACAGAAAAAATATCTAAGGGACAGTGCACTGTCATCAATTGTGTGTTTGTGGGTGAGTGTGGGTGTATCAAGAAAGGTGCACGCTTAAAGTACAAGTAGTCCTCGACTTACAACCATTTTCACACTTATGACCATTGCAGCATCACTGTGGCCATGGCATCAAAATGTGGATATTTGGCAACTGGCTCATATTTATGACGATTGCAGTGTTCCGTGGTTGTGTAATCGATCCCCGTTTGTGACCTTTTGAAAAGCAAAGCCAATGGGGAAGCTGGATTCACTTAATAACAGGGGTGGGATTCTATCGTTTCGGGCCGGTTTGGGGAACCGGTAGCTTTGAAGATCAGCTGTGAGCGAATCAGTTCGCTATGACGATCAGCTGTTGGGCCTGCCCGCCCGCCCCGGCTCTAGTCTGTGCTGTATTTCCGGGTTTTCCAGCTCAGCGGATTTGCGCGGCACAGCAGATTGCTGCGCATCAGCTGTTTTACACACCGAGCTTGCGGCAAAAAGGTGAGTTGCAAATGCTGCTCGGGCGCGCTCACCGAACCAGTTGTTACACCGGTTGAATCCCACCCCTGCTTAACAATCATGTCACTAACTTAGTGATTCACTTAACAACGGTGGCAAGAAAAGCTGTAAAATGGAGCTGAACACGGTTAACAACTGTCTCGCTTAACAACAGAAGTTTTGGGGTTCAGCTGTGGTCGTAAGTCGAGGACTGCCAGTAGAGTTTTCCCCCTACCTCGATTTGACCAGCCATCCATGGCATTTGGCACATGAGAATGGGGAATACAAGTTCCAAAACTTGGAAAGGCTGTGGTTTGTTTCCTGTGCTGTAAACGGATGAGCACTGCGTCAAATGGCAGTTGAGAGAGTAACCTTCTCCTCTGCAGGCTTCTTCCTTGCCCATGTCTGTCATCATCGTGGGAGTGGGCCCTGCTGAGTTTGGGGGTAAGTGCTCTTCACATTCAGATGAATTTTGGTTGATTAGGGAATTGAGTCCGAAGAACCCAAAAAGCGGATGGGATGTTTCGGGGAGAGTGCAGGTTGGAGGACTCATACAGGAGAGAAACCATATGAGTGTCCGGATTGTGGGAAAGATTTCAGTAGCAGGTCTAGTTTTATAAATCATGTAAGGTTACACGTAGGGGAGAAACCATTTAAATGCCCAGATTGCGGAAAGTGTTTCACACGGAATTCCTCACTTATCAAACATCAAGGCTGGCCTCCCAGTCCTTGGCTGGTTGCACCCATAAGCAAAACCTCATAGCAGAACAATTAATCAGTGGAACTACTTGCCTCCAGAAGTTGTGAATATTCCAACACTGGAAGTTTTTAAGAAGAGGTTGAACAACCATTTGGCTAAAATGGTATAAGATCTCCTGCCTTAACAGGGGGTTGGAATAGGAGACCTCCAAGGTCCCTTCCTACTCTGTAATTCTATTCTATTCTATTCTATTCTATTCTATTCTATTCTATTCTATTCTATTCTATTCTATTCTTTCCCTATTCTGTTCTATTCTATTCTATTCTATTTCTATTTTATTCTTATTCTGTTCTATTCTATTTCTATTCTATTCTTTCCCTATTCTATTCTGTTCTGTTCTATTCTATTCTTTCTCTATTCTGTTCTGTTCTGTTCTATTCTGTTCTATTCTATTTCTATTCTATTTCTATTTTATTCTTATTCTGTTCTATTCTATTTCTATTCTATTCTATTCGTTCCCTATTCTATACTATTCTATTCCTAATCTACTGTTCTGTTCTGTTCTGTTCTATCCTACCCTACCCTATCCTATTCCTTGCTGTCGGTTGCTGAAATTATTACTGGAGAGCATGATTAATGACTCTTGGCTATGGATGTGTCTCATTGGAGAATATACATCCAGGGGGTGGGGGGAAGACCAGGGTCAAGGGTGAAGTGAATGATGTGTCAGAGTCAGCTGCAACTGGGAAACGCCAACATGTCAACTCCTAATCAATCAATCTTTTTTACTCTGAGAGATGCGGCTAGAGACTTATGATTTGAATGGGGGTGCATGTCGGAGTCCTGACAATTTTTTTTGCAAAGCTAGAGCAAAATGCAGAAATAAGGACCTTAAGATTTATTCTGGGTGTCAGTGTAGAGTAATAGTCCTCCTGGAAAATGGCAACGAATGTTATGATCTTGTGTTTGGTTGTTATCTTCAGCCATGGAAGAGCTGGATGGAGATGAAGTACGGGTCTCCTCCAGGGGGCGATATGCCGAGAGAGACATTGTACAGGTAACCCTTCTTTGAGAATCTGGCTGGTTACAATGGGCCAAAGGAAGGTTTCTGTGGTGAATTGTCTTCTTCTTCCAGATTTGTTTCCTTTAACAGCGTCAAACAAGGCCACGTCAAGAGTTTTGCAAGAATTGTCCCTTAAGAGAGCCTTCCCCATGCTCCTCAGGGAGCCTTGTGTTAGGAACAGAGGATGTTCGCTCTGATTTGCTTCTGTAGGAGAAAAAAATTACCCCCAAATTGTTTAAAACAGCACACCATTCTGGTGAAATAGGGATGGTTTCATAAGGTACCAGAAGCAGTGAAAGCAAAATGAAAGAAGAAGGCAGAGACGCAGCTCTTCTTTAAACACCTCTATAAATTAAAATACATATTTGGATATAGCAAGATACGTGACTAGTCGTGGGATATGGAGGGGGGCGGATTCTTATGAGGTAATGGCCGCTTCCCCATTGCAGTGGAGTGCCCAGGATCCATTTTGATAGTGCGGGGTGTGTGTGTGTGAACGATTTAACAACCAGTTTGCCTGAACTGGTGCGAACCGGCTGAATCCCACCACTGAAAGTACCCCTTCATGACCTAGAGGACTGGGCATCAACCCTTACTTTATCATCCAGATCAGAGTTTCAGCCTGAAAATATGGCATTTATTTTGTTATAATTTTACAATATTTTACTTAATCTTGCAGCACAAAGGATAACGTGCTTTGCGGTTCCCTGTCCAAGAGAAATATCAGGATTTTTGTTGCTATTCGTGGCTGGGATTTGGGAATTCAAGAAGAATTGAGTCTGGAAGATAGTTATTTGAGCATCTTAACTTCTTGCAAAACTTATAAACCTACAGAGGAGCTATGATCAATCTCAGTGTTTGTTTGATGGACTTGAATTGCCAGTGGGCATAAGAAAACAAAATTAAAATATTGGCAATATGGTAGATAGAGTGGATCTACATATTTCTAGGGCAACAGAAATGGGTTCTGGTGGCGCAGTGGTTCAAGTGCAGTATTGCAGGCAAACTCTGCCCACAGTCTAGTGTTCGATCCTGACAGGGCTCAAGGTTGACTCACCCTTCCATCCTTCCAAGGTCGGTAAAATGAGGACCCAGATTGTTAGGGGCAATATGTAAATAATGCTCCTACGTTACAAACTGCTCAGAGAGTGCTATAAAGTGGTATGGGGTGATATTGTAAGCCTAAATGCTATTGCTATGTGGTGTGGGTTGGGTATTCAGCCCTTATATCTTTGCTCGTGTAAACTGAGCTGGGAAATATAAAATTGTCTTTGTTCTGCTGCTGTTGATAAGCCAAGAAGATCGTAACGGACTTGGGGATCTAATTCAGTACCCGCTGCCTTTTTGTCTCTTTCCTGCTGTTGCAGTTTGTGCCCTTCCGAGACTACGTAGACCATTCCGGCAACCACATTTTAAGCATGGCACGCCTGGCGAAAGATGTCCTGGCTGAAATCCCAGAGCAGCTGCTTTCATATATGAAGACCCGAGACATCAAGCCCCTTTCTGCTAGACCACAGTAAACTCTATCTTCTCCACAGCCTGAAGCCATTCAGATAATTTTGCTCCAGCTGGGACTGGGGAGATGCTTTCCACCTAAGCGAGAGGGGCCCTTTCCTCTCTTCCATTCAGAACTGGCTAGTTTAGTGGGCGGGGGGGACACAGCAAGTTCACTACCGGGAAGCGGGCAGGATATGAAGGCCATGCTTCACACAGCAGATGTGACACCAGCACAAAAGCCTGGCTCCACCCAGGATCTCAAGGAGACGGTTCCAATTTCATGACACAGCCCTGGCAAGAGCCTCAAAAGAGGAAGTTCAGAAGAGGCAGCGGTGTCCCGGGGATCCTGGAGCTGTGTTTACTTCAAGGCCAGTTTGTTTAGTAAGGTGCCATGGAGCCCTCTTTCTGCCTGGTTATTGACAATAAAGTATCCTTGGTCCCGGGTTCTCATGTGGCTGTTTTATTCTCGTCTTATTATATTCTATGCTCATAGGGCTAATTTTATTCTATTTTGCTCTGGAAAGAGTGCCGAAAAAGAGCAACAAAAATTATTAGGGGGCTGGAGGCTAAAACCTACGAAGAATGGTTTGCAGGAATTGGATACGTCTAGTCTATTGAAAAGAAGGACATGTTAGCAGTGTTCCAATAGTTTGACACAAGGAAGGGTGTATGTGTGTCAAGCTATTCTCCAAAGCACCTGAGGGCAGGACAAGAAACAATGGATGGTAACTAATCAAGGAGAGAAGCAACCTGGAATTAAGGAGAAATTTATCCCAACAGTGAGAACAATTAACCAGTAGAACCTTGCATGCAGCAAATGTGGGTGCTCCCCACATTGGGTGGAGGTTTTTAAGAAGAGATTGGACAGCCATTTGTCTGGAATGGTAGAGAGTCTCCTGCTTGAACAGGGGGTTGGACTAGAAGACCTCCGAGGTCCCCTTCCAACTCTTGTTATTCGGTTCTGTTTTGTCAGTGTTGAGTTCCTGTCACTATCTCTAGGCTTCCCAAACAAAGTGGGAGGATCTGTTCAGATACAGATTTCAGATCATCAGAGTTGGAAGGGACCTTATAGGTCATCTAGTCTAACCCCCCCACCCAAGCGGGAGACCCTACACCATTTCTGACAAGTGGCAGCCCAACCTCTTCTTGAAAGTCTCAAGTGATGACGCTCCCACAACTTCTGAAGGCAAAGCTGTTCCCTTGGTTGATTGTTCTCACTGCCAGAAAGTTTCTCCTTATTTCCAAGTTGAATCTCTCCTTGTTCAGTTTCCATCCATTATTCCTTGTCTGGCCTTCAGGTGCTTTAGAAAATAGCTTGACCCACCAATCCTCTCTGTGGCAGCCCCTAAAATACCGGAAGGCTGCTATCCTGTCTCCCCTGGTCCCTCTCTTCATTAGACTAGTCATGCCCAGTTCCTGTTCTTCATATGTTTTAGTCTCCAGTCCCCTAATCATCCTGGTTGTTCTTCTCTGTACTTTTTCTAGAGTTTCAACATCTTGTTCAAGAGAGAGGATCTCTCTCTCCAACCCTACTTAACACAGCTGTAGTTTTCAGACATATTTTATTCATTGCAAATTGCCAGTCTGCTGCAGTCACATGCATTATGAATCTGAGAAAATATGGGATATGGGTACTTCAACATGGAATTAAAACAAGGGAAAGCTAACATAAATTTACACTAGTACCATATATTTTTTTTGCTTTTTCCCTTACCAATTCTAACTCAGTTTGATGCTTTCCTTTTTCTTTTTTTTTAAGAAGAATGTGTGGGCTTTTTCCATCATTGGGTGCATTTCCTCAGAGAGAAGATCCAACCTCAACATATTAGAAAAAGGACCTGAAGTATGTTTGGATATGATGCAAGGGAGGATGTGGAGGAGAAATTCTTCAAAAGGTTGAAAAGAAAGGAAACGTTTCGGATTTCCCAACAAGCACAGTTAATAGGAATTGGGTGAATGAGGTCCAATGAGGTAATAAATTCTTGGGTTAGCAAAAGGCTCAGGAAAGGAACAATTGAAAGTGCTCATCAAAATCCATAAACAGAATTATACAGACCTGACATTCTGACCCCCTTGTATCTAGCGGTTATAATTCAGTCTGTGTCCTCATTTGGCTTCTACTTCTACCCTAATATGAAATAGCCAACTTAGCGAGACCGAGATCAGAATTGTGGACAAGGGGATAAAGGTAGTCCTCAACTTGCAACTGTTAACGCCCATCACGATGATCAGTTGTAGCGATTGTAAAACAGGTCACCCAAATGACCGACTGGATTTTATAACCTTTGCTGCAGCAATCATTAAGCAAAAACCACGGTTGTAAAGCAAGCACCTGGTCATTAAGCAAATTCCATAGTTGTTAAATGAACCAATGGTTCCCTCTGAGCCGTTTTAAAGGCCAGTTTTTGGCAAAACTCTTGTAAAACATCACATGACTGCAGTTCACTGCAAATGGCCATAAAGGCTGAAGCCCAATATATCGTCACGTGACGAGAGGAAGCAATTCAGCCATCATAACTTCAGAACTGGTTTGTAAGCATCCTGGAAGAGATCCATTGCAACGTCAATCATGAGGACTACTGTTTTTTTCTCTATTCTCTGTCACCCCCATTCCTCCTACATATTTTCTTTTTGTCTGTCCAGAGATTGTTCCAGAATCAGAGATGGGGATCCAGTGGTGGGATTCAATTTTTTTTAACTACCAGTTCTGTGGGAGTGGCTTTATGGGCATGGTGTGGCTTGGTGGGCGTGGCAGGGGAAGGATATACTGCAAAATCCCCATTCCCTCCCCACCCCACTAACCTGCTTTCCAGCTCCGTTCTCCTGTGCAGGGCAACAAAAGAAGACCCAGCCAATCAGCTGGTACTCAGGAGGCAGAGAATAGATGGGGGGCAGGGCCAGTCAGAGATAGTATTTGCCGGTTCTCTGAACTACTCAAAATTTCCGCTACCGGTTTTCCAGAACTGGTCAGAACCTGCTGAATCCCACCTCTGTGGGGAGCCATGGTCTTTTTATGACTTGTGGACTTCAACTCTCAGAATTCCTGAGCCAGCCATGCTGTTGAAGTCCACAAGGCATAAAAAGGGCTCCCTATTCCCTGTTCCAGGAGGACTCGTTGTTCTTAAAAGAACCAAAAATGGCCTGGCTAAAGTCCACTGCTTTTTCAGTCCTCTGTGTTTGTTTGTGTGTGTGTGTTTGTCTGTGTATCTGTGTGTACTGTATGCGTATACCTTCTTTTACTGCTCAGGTCTAGAACGGCCATTTCAGATGGCCAAATGCTTGGGGAAACTGTGATGTTTGGGACATACAAGCTGCTTTTTTTTTTTTTAACCCATGATACGTTTTGTCCCCCCCCTCCCCCGTCCTTAGGACACTGCACTAGGAATAACTATTTATCACATGGCCTGTGAGGTTCAACTGCTTGAAACTAGCAAGCAGATGGGGAGAGACAATTCCCGCTTCTGCGGGTTGGGTGGCCTACTTTAGTTCTTCTTTTTATGAAAGGAGAGGGCAGAGCTTTCCTGCCCCTGCAACAGAAGCAGCTGGCAGGGGGTTTATCTCGGCTGGCTCCTTCGCTAGAAGCAGGAGGACTAACTAAGCTGTGCTGCTGTCTCAACCTTGACTTGATGCTACTTCCTCATTTTTCTTCTTCAAAGAGGTCCAGTTAATGTCGAGGAAGGGCCTCACTCAGTTCCTGGGTTACCTTAGAGCAGGTAAACCATTGCTGTTTTGGGGGCAGTAATAGGGGCACACCACAGCTGATGGCCACACAGGACATCTGGGGAATTAAGTCTCTTATTTGCCTTCTTATTTATGCTCTTCCATCTTTTGTCCCTGTTTCTCAAATCTTCCCTGGCATACTTCCCTGGCCTTCCAATCCATCAACTGTAGGATTAATAATTTGCTGTTCTATTTCACGTGACAGTTGGAGG